TTTGAAATTCAGATTTGACTCTGAGTGAAATAAGAAAATATAATTTTAAGCCAAGAAATTAACATATTACTAACTAACATTTTTAAAGTATCTTACTGGTCGGTGAATTAAAGACAGACATTAAACGTCAACAATAAAAACAAAAGACCAGCTATCACGCAAGTGCAACACATCAGACGAGAAGGACAAGTGAAAAAGACAAGACAGGTGGGTGTGATGACACTGAAAAGCAATCATATCCTGGATATTTTTAAAGGAGACGTAACAGGATTTCTTGATGTATTCGTATGAAACACAGGGGAAAAAAGTGAAGCCAAAATCATCTCTAAGACTTGCCTGAGCAACTGGAAATGTGGAGTAGGTATTACCTGAAATATAAAGCAGGAGATAAGCAGACATTAGAATTTTGGACTGGACATACTAAATTTGAGATGGATTAGTCAGCATCCAAGAGAAGTCAACAGTTGGACAAAAACCAAGTCTAAAGTCAGTAAAGAAGTTAACACTAATGACATAACTTTAGGAGTTTAGACCATAAGAGTAGATGAGATTGCCTAAGGAGTGATTTTGAATAAATCAAACCTGAGGATTGAGTCCTACAGCAATCTATCAGTGACAGGTTATAAAATAGGAAGGGGGAAAAAGAAAAAATGATACTAAGAAGATAAGTCAGTACCATAAGAGGAGAATCAACGGATGAAAGAAGTGAAGTCCTAGAAGAAGTGAATTACCAACTGTGTAATATATGGAAAACACATTAAAGAAGATAAAGACTGAAAACTGCTAGATCTAGCAATGCTAGTCACCAATGATCTTGACAATAGTTTTTTTAGGAGAACAGTGAATATGAAAACTTGATGTTTAATGGGAGTGTGTGATGAAAAGAAAAAATATGGAAATAGTAAAAACTCCTCAGAGGAATTTTGCTATTTAAAAAGAAACGAAGTAAAACAGTTATTCAAAGGAAAATGAGTTCAAAAGAAGTTTTGTGGGCTTTTTCTGTTCGTTTTGTTTTGGTTTTTAACATGGGAGATAAAATGCACGTGTGTATGCTCACTGGAATGATTCAGGACAGTGAGATAAGGCTGTAAGTGAGAAGGGAGAACTCCAGAGCCACACCCTTTAATTCCTTGACACTTTTATGTATGCTCTTTGTTTAACCTTAGATAAGAGTATAAATAATTCTTGAGAAGAAATTAAAACAGAGAACATGAGTACAGATTCAGATATGTTGGTATAAGTGGTTATGGAAAGGAATAAAAGCTTTATTTTAACAGCTTCTTTGTTCTCTGTGTTCCTCCAAAATTCATAGGAGGAAGCCTTAATTCCCAGCGATGGCATTTGGAAACTGGGCCTTTGGCAGATAATTAGGTCCTGGCAGGATCCACAAGATTTTAGCGCTATTGTAAGAGAGATGACCTCTCTCTCTACCACATAACAATACAGGTAGCCATCTGCAAGAATGCCCTCACCAGGAACTGACATAGCTGGCACCCCAATTTTAGGCATCCCAGCCTCCAGAAGTGTGAGAAACAACTACCATTTAAGACACCACTCCCTGCTATTTTGTTATATAAGCCAGAGTTAGACACATTCTGTAGAGATTCTAATGCATACTAAAGTCTAAGAGTCACTGAAATGACACACCTGCTAATAGATTAATCTAAATGATATGGCACAAATGTCACAGATCAAATATAAAGTATAAACTTAAAATTTTATCAGTGATGTTTTATAACCAAGAAACTCTAAAATTGACTACTTCATAATTCTGAAGTTGAAAAAACACCACAACTCAAAATCTTGATGGAAATTTGTCTAGCAACTCTTCTTAGTGGTATGGGATATTCTC